TGCCCGCTCCGGAAACCGAAACAGAAGGCAGGGAATGACGTCTGTTCCTCCTTCCCCTGACACTGAGAGTGTGACCTAAGTGTGGACAGCTTCTCCCCAGGAGTCTTGGAAAAGTCACACCAGGCCACGGGCTCAGCAGAGACAGTTCTCCGTGGAGCTCCAGAGTCCAGTCCAGCCAGCACTGGCTTCCAGTGACAGAAGGGACATCCTACGCAGCCTTCGTCCAGGGTCTGACCTTGCCTGCGTCCTGTACTCCCGATCACTTCTGCCTCTTTCCCAGCCCAAATCCCCAGCTAATGAATATCCTTCCAGTACATTCCATTTCTACTTAAACTGCATAGAATATGTTCCTTCTGTACGTAATCCAGAACCATGACGAATACATCGGGCATATATAGCTTTTATAAAACCATTAGCTTTCACAAACCTTCTGTGGTCCACCCCTGTCCTCAGGACAAGGTCAGGCTCCTTGTCCTGGCCCTTGGTGTGTGGGTGCGGTGCTGGGAGTTCATCCTGGAGCCAGGCCAGCACCACCCACACAAGAGCGGGTCTGTGTGGGGTGTGAGCCCGCTCGCCCTCCGGGGACTAGACTAGAAGTAAAATGGGACTCAGAAGGCAAAAAGACCAGGGCCAGGGGAGGGAAAGAAACCGAGAACACGAAGAGCTCTCCGTGGGCACGAGGGCTCTGGCTCAGGTCACCAGGGAGCAGTCTTGGGAGACTGGACAGCAGAGAGGAAGGGTCTACCCTTGGATGCGCTGGCGAGTTGGAGAACACCCAGGAGAGGGCTGGGGGGCCGAGCCGAATAGGGGATCGCGCACAGGAGGACGGTTTGGTAAAGACATAGCCCTGGAAGTCAGTGCCCATAGACGGCAGCGGAGGCTGTGCGAGGGAAGACGGCCTGGGACGGGGCCCCAGGCGCAGGCGCCCAAGAGTGAGCAGGAGAGGCCCGGTGGGACACTAAGGCGGTGCCTCCCTCCAGGCCCCGGGACACCCGCCGGCCGCTGGAGCTGAGGAGGGACGGACACGACCACAGGGAGTTAAAGGCAGGAGGGAGAGGGACTCCCGAGAGGCCGCGCCCCTGGGAGGCGGGCACGGAGCCAACCCCGCCCAGCCCTCACCTCCCGGGGAAAGTAGGAGGCCGGAGGCATCAGAGGGAGGGAGGGCCCGGGTTCGCGCGCCGCCCGCTCCCGGGAGGGCCGCGCGGCTGCACGAGCCCCCGCGCGCATGCACGCTCCCACTCGCACACACGCGCGCACTCCCGTGCATGCTGGCCACGCGCGTCCCGGCCCAGGGCAGCCCCTTCCCCGCCAGCCCACCCCCCAGTCCTCCCCCTCCCCGCCGGCCCCCAGGCTCTCACCTGCGGGGGCCTCGGCCTCCGGGCCGGTCTCCCTCTGCCCTGGCGGCTGGCGGTGC